CCATTTCTTTTAGTGTTTTGCTCTCAAAACACACACTCAAAACACACACCACAATCTATAAGAGTGGAAAGTGAGCAAAAGAGGAGGAAAAGCACAAAGGAGAGAGAAAAAAACAGTTTGATTCATTTTGATATTTCTGGAATAAGACAAAATCATCTTCCGGGTACTCAGGGGACAGACATACAGTAAACGTTTTGTTTACCTGTTTGTCTGCAGGAGCTCTTACTGGCTTAATGCTCCAACAATCTAGTTTGATCCAAAAAGGCAGCGCTCTGCCTGGGAGAGTGGGCTGCATGTCAAATTGATGTTGTGCATGACTCATACTCGCATGTGAGTGCGTGTGTGTGTGTAAATGCTCCCATCTATATGCGTTTATGTGTGTGTGTGTGTGTGTGTGTGTGTGTGTTCTACAGACAGCAAGTAGATTAAAGAAACATGCACAAAAAAAATTTAACATCAGAGACAGGGGACATCCAGGAAATATGGGGTTTGCTGAGGCAGAGTCATACATGACTGATGACAAGTAGGTGTGTGGCTAAAAGTGAGTAATGACGAGTTAGTGTGTGAAGCACCTGTGCCTGTAACTCAGTTAAGAGAATTATACTGAAACCTCAGCAGAAGAGGCACGAGAGAGGGAAGGACGGCAGAGGGATAGAAGGAGAGAGGAAATTTAATTTGACCCTAGTACTTGACTGACGCATTTTAATAATAATATATATGCTGATGTTTAGAAGCTAAGGCTATGGGAGGCTAGAGGCGGGGTTTTGGTCATTAACCAAAATACAAAGCAAGTAAATATCTGACCAGATGATGGAGCTAGATAGAAAAAAAAATGCTAACAGATCTCCAAAGTTACTCCCTCGAATCACCAAAGTCAAGAAGAAATACAGTATCATCATAAATGTACCAATCCATTCAGTACAGGTACATTTCAGTTTGGGCCAGAGTGGTGGACCAACTTACAAAGCCACATAATGTCCTGTCAATAGGATTTTTCTATACCTGTGTTTCTAACATTTTGTGCACACTACTAACAGGAATGAGTGTAGACTAAATATTAAAATCTCCCCTGTGTAAAATAAAATGCCATTCAACACCACCAGAAACTACACCAAAAAGCTTCAGTTAAGTGTATGTAATAAACTGGCAGCTGAGTGTACACTGTTACATACAGGCAAAAAACACAAACCCAACAATTTCAAATTGTATAACTTTTATAAACTTTTATTTTTTAAAGTTTCCTTTCTGAGATCGTTAAGCACCAGAATAAAAAAAAGAAAAAAAAGAAAAAGCAGTTTTTGTTTTTATACAGTGAGAACTAAATCTGTTTGGATAAAAGTACCACGAAGAAAAACACAGTGTACTCTTTTAGTAAAGTAAACAAGCAATGTCCAGCCATAAAAAAAACTACAAAAATATTGCTTTTTCTGTGTGACCCTCCCACTCCTGCCTTTTTTTTCTCTACTCACTGTCCTGTAACCTCCTTTACCAAGGTTCTATTCCCATGCTTTGTAGGATAAAGAGAGAGTTTAGGCTTTAAATGGCTCCCTGTGGCATTGTAGAGCAAAGCATATCCCAATGATAAGTGGTGACAATGTGTTCAGGCCTGATCTCTGCACTCCCTGAGGATTGCCCTTAATGGATTAGTCCTGCTTGTTTCCGTGACATCAGTAACAAGAAGTCTCATACAGGAAGTAATGGCATTTTTCGCCACACACAGCTCATACCGAACAGTGAACTAACAAGGAAAGAGCACATTCAGTATTTCATTGCAATGTTGTGACCAACCCATTAGGTTTGTAGACATGATGAGCAAAAGATACAAAAATACTGTGTTACACACTGTATGTTTCCTTTGTGCAAAACTGACAAATCCATTATAGACTCCCACAGGAATTTTGGATGCAGACACACACCACGCACATGAACACACACACACACACACACACACACACACACACACACACACACACACACACACACACCCTCAAAATGGGCAGGGTCAGGCACCACTGGTAAGCCCTCAGCAACAAAATCAAAAAGGCGTGGCAAGGCAGCGTCCTCTGATCTGAGCCAAATACTGGAACAAATCGCAGTTTCAGTGTAAACGGATCCATCTCTTTGGAGATGTGTCTGTTGCTGGCTCGAGGTCACCATGATGAACAGACGAAATAGGAAGTATCGTCACAGCAACGTACGCTCTGACAAGCTCTATTTGTCAGGCGTGGCATAATGTCCTGAGCGATCTTGGGGGTTTAGGGCGGGTGTGCATACACTTACTGTAGAGCAACAAACATGTGTATTACCATTGTCTCAAAGAAAACAGCAGAAGTTTTCTCTATTTTCTCTGTCCTGTGGCATTCATTCCTGTCCGACATCTTGTTCTCAGGATTGTACATGACTCTGTTCAATGAAGACTTACTGAAGGTCGAAAAAAAAGGAAAAGTTCACTGAAGCTGAAATCTATGTGAAACAAATGAATGTTTGATGTTTGGTTGAGGGTCTGGTCCGAAATTCATCTATATATAATCGTGGGTCAAAGGTTGTTTCCAGTACCAAGCTTTATGGGTCTGGTCTTGCACACCTTTACCGATCGTAGACTCTGATTGAACTTACCCATTTGAGGTTTGACTTCTTCTGTATATATATGTCACCATTTAAGTTATTGTAACTGGTGCTACACTGAGTGACAGTGTAGCACCAAAACTCAGAATGAGGACTGAAATATCGTTGTTTCAGATAATAATGAATTAAGGAAAGATGCCCTAACAACAGCAACGGCGGCCTAATAAACTGAAGAATTCAAATATCATATGGTTAACAAGTGGGAGATAAAAAAAAATGAATGATTCATGGGAAGAGAAGACGTGGGAACTGAATATGGAAGAGAAAATACTAAATATTCCCTGCGAGGCATGTAGATGCTTTCAAAAACAAATCAAACAGGATTCTGGCAGTGACTGATGAGGGTGGCGGTGGGCGGAGGTGAGAGAGAGGGAGAGGAGGGAAAGCTGCATGGTGCCATGACGAGCGATGCCCTGTGGTGTTCCCTGTCATCAGCTAGCTGGTGGCTGAAACTGCCTGTGCATTCGAAAGTAATTACATGGTGGGGGCTGAAGTGGTGAGAACCTGCAATCATCGTATCAGAGGGGGCCCTCTAGTCGATGATACTCCGCCACTCACTACTCATTGTGACGTGAGCGTGAACACATGCTTTCATACACAGCACTGACATCCAGTTCAGCTTGTAACACACCTAAGGATCATCAGTTCAACAGAGACTAGACACCCACATATAATGTATCCTTCAATTAACACAGACAGTTTTTATTTGTCTTGACAGTCAAAGAGGAATACATACTTAACGACCTAGTGATGACTTAGCAACCTGTATTTAGGGCAACACATACCACCAGCGTGTGATGCGCATCAAAACACTTGTTCTTATTGTTCACCGTGAAGGCCCACAGGACACACCCCTCTATTCTATCACACTAGAAACACAGCAGTACCTTAGATCATCACATCCCCCATTCCTGTACCCTGACAGCTTTATCTGTCTGGATGGCACTTCTGGTGTGTGCTATGAGCATCAAATGGTATGATGGTATGTCAAGCATTGCAAGGCAACCCCCTGAATTCCTGCAAGAACGCAAATTGTCATGTTTTGCTACACCAAACAAGAAAGGAAACTCCATCAAAAGATGTTTTCTTTACTAATTTACACTGTAATTTACACAAGGAAATATATTTGGGTGAAATGTTGGATGGACAGACATGAACAACAAGAACTCTGAACTCCGCAGAGAGAGAGCTGGAGGAAAATGAACTTCATGGGTGACTTAAACTGAACTGTGTCTACATTGGATTATATAATAATTCTCATTCACTGTTTGTCACTCTATTTTACTGTGTCTGCGTTTTTCAGACATTTTTAAAAAATTCGGATTTCTCCCACTATGTGATGTTAGCAATTATGATGTGGTCCCTTCCTTTCCCATATAGCAAAATGAAACCTCTGGCCCAACATATACCTTGGTCCTTGGCCCAAGTATGGCCCACATACCTCCAGCAGATTCTTGCTGGAAACATGGAAGTACACAATGAAGAGGTGCAATGGATCACATTTGAATTCCAGTGAAGTCAAAGCTGAGTGTAGTTGTATGTGTGAAATCCACGAGAGGTGACATGAAGATGTAGAGACACAACACACACTCATAACAACTATGGATGGCCAGGGGAGCAGGATAATGAGGGTATGGAGACCATCACACACACTTGACTCCTGTATTTATGTCTGTAGCATGAGGACGGTGTTGAGATTCATGAAGGTGAAGAAAAGCCCTTTGAGATGACTCACACAAGACACTGGCCTCACATTGATCATAAAGTTTCCACTAGATGACATTTTACAATAAGTGAGAAAGAATTCAACAATACAGTGGGTGACATCCAAGAAGTCCTTCATTATTTTCTAAGAGGTTTTATGGAGAGAAAAAATAGGATTACAAGAAAGAAACTTTGTCTGGAACTTTCTGGCATGGAGGGGAATCCAAATCCCAATCAGCTGAGTAGAACATCCTGGGAAGGGATCCAACTTGTCGCAAGGACACGGGTCGCAGATGTAATGACAGTGAGAGGGGGGCAGAAGAGGGAAGGAAGGATGTGGAGAGAGAGAGAGAGAGAGAGAGAGAGAGAGAGAGAGGCAGAGAGAGAGAGAGAAGAGAGAAAGAGGGAAATGAAGATACCTAAGAGTTTGGCAGCCAGCATTGAAATGAAATAGGACATGTGTCAAGTGGCACAAGAGTGCAAAAGGAAAAAAAAAATCAATTTGTACGCTGTGAGCTTTGCCACAGGGACCGTGACTTCAACACAAACACACTCACACACACTGTGTCACAGTATCTCAGCACGTCACAGTGTGTGCGTGTCTCGGCCTGACAGGTGCCACACAGCGTTGATGCAAACGGGCATCAGACGAGCCTCGGATCTTCTGCCAAGGCCGCGATGCTCTCCTCTCATCTCCTCTTATCGCATCCACGCCAATCTGCCTAATGAGCGAGAAGACACGCATACGCAGCCATGAGATCCGTATACAGTACAGTAGGTGCATGTGATGTGACACACACACATTGCGACTCTCACAGCCCAAGCGTTTCTTCCCCTCTCTCTCTCTCTCTCTTCCCGAAACATGTTCACACACGCAGATAAACTCTGATTAATCTCCATTGTGCGTGCACGCACACACATGAACACGATAATGAATCCCAGTCTGACCACCCACACTGCATCAGTGGGGAGAATAGATTCCAATCAGCAGGACTAATGCGGGGGAGAACGACAGTAGCACATTTGTCTCCACACGCCCCACTATTAATATGCTTAATAAAGTGAAGCAAGGGATGAGGAGAGAGGTGGATGGAGTGATGCAGGTTAAAGTGAAGGGGTACAGTTGTAGAGGAAAGGAAGCAAGGGAAAAAGAGAACAAGGTAGTGAAGAGGAAGGAAAAAGGAGCAAAGGGAAAAGGAACTAAAAAACAAAGCCACGAGAAGGGAAAATAAGAAGGAGGAAGGAATGATAACGTCTACAACAATTAAGGAAGAAGCGGTGGATGACACACCTCTCCTTCAGCATCAGTAAAAGCCACAAGGACGCCAGTCTCGTCTAGACAAAATCCCCTAATCAAGTTACCAGTTTTTCCTCCACACAACAAGATAGAACACCAGGGCGTGTCCCAGTATGTGTGTCTCCTCCTACACACTCACACACACTCGAATACACATTGCCATGGCAACGCTGACAGTGCTGGCCAGCCAGAGTGGCATCAATGTGGCAGCCTGTCCTTGGAGACAGAGAGAGAGAGAAAGAGAGAGAGAGAGATATGAGGTGAGAGGAGAAGAACGAGATATACGATGGAGAGAAGAGAGAGAGAGCTGAGAGAGAGAGGAGAGAAAGAGAAAGAGAAGCGACAGAAAGAGAGAGAGAGCAGAGAGAGAGAGAGGGCCAACACCATCACAGCTTCACTACTGGAGCTCCACCCAGACCCCACCCTCCACCACCTGCCTGAGAGCTGGTAGAGATCAAACAGATACAGCCACAGTAGAGGACAGTCAAAATATGGATAATTAAATGGTCTCTTCATCACAGATAGAAAAAAACATATACCTTTAGTTGTATCTTAAAGAAAGAAAGAAAGAAAGAAAGAAAGAAAGAAAGAAAGAAAGAAAGAAAGAAAGAAAGAAAGAAGGAAAGAAGGAAAGAAGGAAAGAAAGAAAGAAGCCATAGATAAAGAGAGCAAAGACAGACATGAATCACCCTGGGAACAACCCCCTCTTCTGACGCCCCAACCCACCCCTCTGCCCTTGCATCATTATAACTGCTGCCTGTAAAAATAACTGAGTGCATTTGGCCATTTGGCAATGACAAAAATGTCCGCACACTCAGAGGCCTCAGAGGCCCATCACACTGCACATTTATAGTCCAACTTATGTGGAGTGACTCACTGCATAAGGGCATTAAAGTCATGTGACCGAGTCCACTGCATTTAGCAGGCCCACTGTGACGACCATTAGTGAAATTGATATTGAATGCTCAATCAATGCCAAGGAGGCTATTAGCTCATACTGCATATGTATAGAGTATAAGGCAATTATTTAACTGTTTTGATTCCTGCTAGATTTATGTCAACTGCAGTGAATATGTAACATGTGGAATTATCTCATTTTAGTTATGAAGTGTCGTTTCAGTAGTGCATTTTACAATACTAGCTTTCCTGTGTCATTTCTAATTTAATATTCACTCTTACTTTCTGAAGCCAGTCTATTGCTAACCCTCCGTTCTGCCATGTACTACGCGTGTGTATGAGTGTGTCTGCAAGTAAGGACATGACCTGTAACGCATATTTCAATGTGCAAGTGTGTATCAAGATGTGTATGCATCCTTTACATATGGGTGTCCTTGAATAAGAGGCCAGTAACCCAGAGGATGTGTGTCTGTGTTTGTACGTTTGTGTGGGCATGTATGTTCTGCTCCTGTGTGTGTATACAGTCAGCCATCCATACATTAGTCTGTTTGTCTCTTCTGAGGAAGCCTGCGCTTGTTCAACATATTACTGCTTTCAAACCACTGGTAAAAGGATAGATCAATATGTGAAAACAAAAACCAAGTCAACACACATTTCAAGGAATTTAACACAGCCTATTGTATACTCGACCACATTACTAAAACACTCACACACTAAAATACAACACTGTGTATCATCCATCATATTGTTTTCCTTTCAGGGTTTCCAAGCACACACGTAATGGGAAAAGGTTACAGCCTGCTGCAGAAGTAAACTTGTACAGGTCGTAGATTGGTATCAGTGTTGTCCTGAGTCATAAAAAAACCGACTACATGATACTCATGCAGAAGCCATTAGCCTGATAATATTAATTTTACAGTAATGTCTGTTTTGCATTTGGCACTGCTGGGTCATAAAGGATAAAGATCTAATTATGTGGCTCTTGATGACTCAAATTTGTCTAAAAGAGATTAAAGCTGGGCACATTCGGTAATAGCATTCTTTATCATTCCAGATTTAATTAGTGTAAACAAAATCCAGTTTGACTGGTGGTCTGTACAGTGTGCTTTCCTGTGTTATGTCCAACACATGCTGGGAGAGGCTCCAGGAGGGAGGGGTGGAGAGTTATCCCAGTGAAGTTATAGCTCTAAATTTAGACCAGCTTGATGTGTGAGAAGTGTAATTATACCACATAGTAGCAACAGATCGAAAAAGGAGCTATGGAAAAAGTGCCCCAGAGCATTTGAACCCCTCTTGTTTCACCAGTGCACGATGTCTTAGACATTAACATTTGCTAATTAGCACAAAAATAAAACACAGCTGAGGTTGATGGGAAAGTCATTAGCTTTGATTATTTGGTCACGCAGCAAAGTATTAGATAAATCAAATTTCTGACGCTCAATGAAGTCAGGGGATCATCAAAGTTGGTACAAATCATCCTGAGTGGAACAAGAACATTTCATCCAGCAGTTGTCAACACTTCCCTCCAAATCACAAATGTCAATTTCAAAGTGGCACTAGCGGAAAAGTCAAAGGATTACCCAAGCCATTAGGATACATCACCTCAGCAAAGTGATTATCTATAGTTGCCACCCCTAGAGTTACACCACTCACATGGCTAAAATGACACTCTCAAAACTCTGCACAGCACCATGTTTATAAGATAAAAAGAATGAAACTATGAGGACGAAAACCACGTCAAGATAATGAAAAAAGGCTAGAAAACATAAGCTGTGATGAACAGACCAAAATAACTGAGAACAACTTCACACCATTACAAAGCACCCACAAAAAGACCTGACATTCTGTGCAACTGTCCCAAGAGGTCAGATGGGTCAGCAATGAGTGGGAGGGAAAGGAGCAGCTGGTGACCAGGCTAAAGAGGGGGCTTTAGTATGTTGGCCATTGGCTTGTTGGTAGCTGGGCTATATATAGACTAGAATGGCCTGGCCTCAGTGTGGAAGTGTCTACACTGCCGACAGCACTGGGAGGCTGACCTCCACATCATGGGAACGTACTGTAGATACCGCACATAGTGATGACAGAGACACAGAGAGCGGGGTGGGAGGAGGTGGTTGCTCTGTATCACTATTTATAATAGAAGCATGTATAGACAATATGAGAGAGGTATACATTTATCTACTATGAATCTGTGTGTCTTTAACTTACATCCTTCATATATATCCGTAGGGATGTGGACAGCGGTGGTGTTGTACGAGACAAGTCGTTTGAAGTCGGGGTCTACGTGGAAGTCGTCTGGAACATATCGGTTCTTCTTCTCTGTCTGATTAAGCTGCACAAAAAGAAAAAAAAACAGAGCCTGGAGTTTTAAAACTCTCCTGCAAATCATGTTTTGGCTTAAGAGGAGTGTGCATGTGTGTCCACCCTTGGATTGTAAACAAACTGTACATGCCGTTCCTTGTTACTATGAATGACATGGTGTCAGTGTTGAGTATTCACTAAAATGTCACTACTGACAGATAAAGGTAGAGAAACTGAATGTAAATTTTGGGCAGTGAAACATAAACCCAGGCATCCACAGAGAAAGAGGAACGGGGGAGAAAGCCTGTCACTCAAATACAGAGTGACATTAGTGTGCTGTGGGTGTGTGGCTCTTTCCCACTGGGACAGTGGAGAGGAATTAGATGCTGATCCCTGTTTATCAGAGCAGACAGATGACGTCTGAGGCCAGGGGAGGCATTCAATGTCTCACACATACTCATGTGTTTCTGAGTGAGGGGGCTAAAACATGCATCGGCCCTAATGCAGGAAAGAAAAGACTGCTACTTTTTTTGCACAAGGATAAAATACAGAGGATACTTACAGGCTATCAATAAAACATCCTATCAGGTTTGTTGCCATGGTAATAATCTCTTGAGGGCTGGATATGGTTTGCTTGTGGGGTTTTATTTGAGAATCTGCATCTTTAGTCACATCGACAGAATATCAGTGAAATCAAAATGTACTTACATCATCTTTGGCATTGTAGTAAACTATTTTGTCGGCCTGCAAAGAGATTGAAAGAAAACAGGAAAAGATGAACAGTGAGTGATAAAATTAAAGAAATACACATCTATGAAGAGTAACTTAATACCAAAAAACAGTGTTTTCAGATCCGCTCTGGTTGACAACTAGCATCAAATGTGCTTTGTCGCACCTGTAACCACATCTGACAAGCCCAACATTGTTCAATAGATCTAAAGTGGACGGAACAAACAACTCTTCATGGAGCCTTAGCAGTAATGAGGCTAAAAATGTGAAGTTGCTCTAAAGATAGCATTAGAGGAAAGGCCATGGCACCATGAAAATCAAGTGGGTTGGGAGGAAACATATAAGTTAATTTAATAGCAATCTTGCATGTGTTATAAGTAGTCATTTTGGTGGTGTAGCTGGTAGCTGGCAGAAACTGTTATAGAGTGCCTAAAGTGTTAAAGAGTAATCCTCAGGTGAGGGTGACAGTACTCAGGAAATTTCATTATCCCCACTTTGACTGATTGTGGCACTAGACTAGAGGAAAACACTCCATTCACAACTAATTTCATTGAAATTTATGCATTAGTTTTCAAAATACAGCAGTTTTTATGGATGAAAAAAGATCAAAGGGAACTAAACTGACGGACAGGCTAACCGAATATTACAGAGGCTAAAAGATTCTGTCATGAAAACAGCTTTAATATGACCTAAAAAATAAAATAACACGAAGTAATACTGCCACACTGGGAAGTTTTTAAAGTTACTTCTGCAACTGTGCCAATGATTCGAATCTTGCTCTGTTCCCTTACAGAGCAGTGGCCTGTGTTTGACGCTGAGGATCAGTGAAATAAGTGGTGTTGTTTTGCTCTCACACTGCTGGGCTTCCTGTCAGTACACAGGCTAGCAGGGCGCTAACGAGCTAGCCTAGCTGGTGACATAAAGATGCCCTGCAGCCACAGAGCTGGCTCACTGACTCCCACCACCTGCCTACCACCTCTGGAGCTGCAAGCCAACAGGACAGCGACTCCTCCTGTCACTGCTACTGTTAGTTTAGCTTAAACAGTTTGCAATTACCTCACAATAAGTGATTTAGCTGAGTAAACAGTGCCAGACACTAGCATCTGCTCTCTGTTTTGCTGTTGTGACTGTTAATGACTTAGGACCAGACAATGTCCAAGTTCAACTATATGCACAAAGAGCAGGTGTGGGGCACATACTGTACACTGATATGCACATGCAAGCAAAAATATACACAACAAAGCTGATAACAGCAGACTGTCCCATGATGCTCTCTGTCAGGTCATGTTACTGCAGACGATGTGCACCTTAAGAGGTGATGATCACACTAAGGTCACGCCATCACACCCCTCAGGGGAGGCTACTGCGTGCAAGAACACTTAATGTGTGAGAGATGGAGACAGATGATGAAGGGAGAGGAAGTGCTGCAAAATAAATAAATTATTTAGGCTATTACTTCTGTGGCATGTTGTAGTGGGTGTGATATGTACTGCCAAATGAACATGTGTCTATCTGAATCTATATCTTGTCCAGATAAGAAGATGCTTTTTAATGTATTACAATCAGATCTCTGGTGTGACTGCAGTCCACGTCCACATTTGTGAAAAGCTAATGATTCATTAAATATGCCATCCAATCAGTTCTTACTCCATCATCATCATCTACTTCTGCCAGTTATAGCGCTTTTCCTCCACAGCAGCTGCAAACACTTGTCTGTCAACAGAGTTGTAAAATATGACCTTTTTTCCACGAATGAAAATTTATACGGGTGGTAAATTATCACATTTGATGATCTGCAGTGTTTATTTTTGACTGCGCCACCTCTAAACCCACTCATGCATAAAAATGAGATCAAATCAGAAAGCACACAAGAAGAACTGTCAATATATAAAAAGCAAGAGTAAACTTGACAAACATAATCAGTTTTATCTCTGTACAGCAGCTTTTATAAATAGGTTTTAAAATCATTGTGATACACTGAACAGAAACATGCAAGTGTGTTGTTCTACTGCAGTAGTCACATCTTTTAAGTGTTTAAAGTCAGCGGGGAGAGGTGCCCAGTAGAACTGGCCCAGTTATCAAAGGTGACAGAGAACAGGCGCATGCGCATAAACATACACACACCAAACACACAGCACTCTCTGGTATTTCAAATGCTGGTATTACAAATACTGTGATACATATCCAGACAGCATGTTTACATTTTTGAGCACCTCTTATATTGGGATTAATGTATATTAAACAAATGTATATTCATCCTTAGTCATTTAACATGTCATCAGGTGTCAGGCTGATTTACATGTAATGGCATCGTAGAGACCGCACTGCATACTGAATATGTAGTTTCACACAGGATGAACATACCCCACGCTACAAGATTTTACTGGAATATACTGACGGCACCAATTTAGCCAGCTTATTTACTTTGTAAAAACAAGCAAATACCACACAGTGTTTACCAGCCTCTGATATACACAAAAGGACACACATGATATGTGTACAATAAAGGCACCCAGAGGTTTATGTGTGGGTAAGGTAGCCTTCAGCAGATATAACACTGTCTGAAGTTAGAGTATCTGTGGCTCCACATCCAAGGCCATCATATTCCTCTCTCCGACATGACAGCAACAATGCTAGATCTGTATATAGTGAGGAGGCCACAAGCCCTGATAAAGTCTCATATCCTCGATCTTCTCGGCTCTATAAAATCAAATACTAAAGCATAATAGCTAGTAACTTAAGTCTAAAGTCAGAGTCTGAAAAGTCACACATTTCTATTTTAGATGGAAGCCTATCCACTATATTCTGAGGCTTAAAAAAACAACTAATTTGCTAATTGACAATACTATTGCTTAAAAAGTCACCTAGTGTTTCCGTTACAAGTTGATAAAGTTTCTGAAGGCTACAAATATACTGTGACAAATTCTGTCATCTTTTGGAGCGGCGATAACAGTAGTGTAAATTAACTCCCCACACACGTCACACGCCTTTACCTATTTACAATGCAAGAGTGATATTTAATTGGTTCAGGTACGCAGGAATCCCCATAACATTAACCAAAAAATTAATTCCATTCGCTAGCCAAGCGTCCCGGGCCAAAGGAATATCACACTCAGTGACTAATACAGCGGATAAATGAATCTGTTCCCGCAGAGGATATTTCCTTCCCTGTTGTCTAAGCGCGAGGCAGCAAGCAAGACGTTGAATAATGAGAAACTTTTAATGGAAAAGAACCATTAAAGGTTTGGCAAATAACACTGAAGAGTTTTCTTAAGCTAATAGGCTAAATGGCGAAGTTTGAATTTCTCCAAAGTTCTTCCACCAGGGAATGTAAACACAATATCATTTGTCATTTGTTGAAAGGCGTCAAAGAGCATGAGGCTTTTTTCATTGCAAATCAGAGGAAGGAAATACGCAATTTGCATTCATTATGAAAAGACCGGGGGTAAAACACAGTGTCACAGGCAGCGAAGAGCCGAGAGAGCTGCATTGTATTCCCATGAGAGACTACCATTGTGGAACGGGGCAAAGCTTTCATTGGGCCAGCACTCAGGCAAAGTATAATTGAATGAGTAAAATAATAGTGTGCTCATATTATTTGCTGTACATTCCCTTCTAATGTATTCTTAATACTACGGTTAATGGACGATATCAGAGAGTGAGCAGTGCGTGTATGTTCATCATAAGCATGCCTGGTTGTTTCTACCTATTATGTAAAATAATGAAATTCAATCTTGTATAAAGTCATTACAGCATGATTGTCATTGTAATGAGATTTGCCATCCAATTATTACAATCATATTGGATCATGAATAACATGTCCCTCCCCCACTCCAGCTCCTCTTGTGCAGTTCACGGCACCACTTGATCTGTATGTAATGCAGCCGGTGTTAATGAACATATCAGATCGGGCTGCGGCCGCTCTCTCACCTCACTGTCGTCCCTCCACGAGTGCTCCATCTGAAACCGCTCTGCCTCTGTTGCCAGCCTCTGAGAGAAGAGAGAGGGAGGAGAAGAAGAGAGAGACAATGCATGTTAGTCCATGTTTAATATCCCCATAAAAAAAACTTTGATTTCTCTGGCTCTGAGGCTGTGATGTTACTGTCGGCATCGTGATAGTAGAATTGACACCAACGTTCACTTTGTCCAAGGAAGACATTCGCATTAGCTGATTCAAAAAAATTGAAAAGCCAGGGAAAAGACCAGGGAAAAGACCAGGGTTACATGTGAAGTCATGACATTTAACCCTGTGGCAGCTTTAAGAAGATGCTGCTGATGCAAACACAGTGCATTCAAGGGAAAATACCTCATTTCCACCCACTGGTATGAATTAGGCCTATACTGTGACACAGTGTTGCGCTAAAATTAGACCCACAGCTATTCCATCTTTTCCCAGATCTGGTCCTAATGACTAGGTTAATGGGTTTATAATGGCCCCAGCTTTTAATCTGTACCTGGTCCAGAAATGCACTGTACTATTAATTTCCCTTGGGAAATATCAAATCCAGCTCTTTTGCTGCTTATGTGTACAGGCACAAAAGGGTTTCAAGACACACAGAAGGAGAAGATCCTACGGAGGCACAGGAGTAAATTAATTTATGAAATGAGGGGAGGAAGGAGGTGAAATAATGAATTATTGAATTAAATCTGCTATGAAATTAACAAGACAGTGACAAGAATCAGAGGCGCAGAACAAAGTCTGATTGTGAATCACATGCTGGGATATCACTCGCAGCGTTTGGGCGCAAAATCACATCTTAAAAGACACCGACTACACATTTCCCTCACTTTGCAATTTTGGAATCGCTCATCTAAAATCACTCTCATTGTTGTAAATTCAAAATAACAACCAACAGACATTTCCACAGCACTGAAGCTAATGGTTATAATGTTTCTGTTCCTACACTTCTCTTTCTTTCTTTCAAAAGGAAACCTCCCCTCCCTCACTGCATAATCAGTTGGCACTGAGGCAACATCTTGATAATGAAACCTCCCCTCCTGCAGATCTGGCTTCACATCACTCGTTACGCCTGTATACAGTGCCGTCCCTTAATGCCTGCCGGGTGGGCTGACACTCTAGCGGTCTGAAACACGGTTACCTCGGCAGCCTCTCGGCTGTGTCTCATTAGGGTGGAAATTTCACAGCGGCTGTCACAGACAGCGGGACCTCGTGGCTGGCAAAGGAGCAAAGGTGAAACTGAGCTGTGCGTGTTTCTGCACGGTTATGGCAGGGGAGGAAAGCTTTACTGCGCCTCTCTCTGCGTGTGAGTGTGTGTCAGTAAAAGTACATATGTCACTTGAAGCAAAAGACATTTTTGGTATACATCCTCTCAGTTGGCCAGTTGCCCTCACGTCGCCACGTTAGACCTTTATGTTTGTGGCTCTCCATGCATCCACACAAAAGCATTTCTAGTGTTTTTGAGTAAAATGGGTCTCGACGGCTGGGTCGTGGTGGTCATTTTAAGGCACAGAGAATGCCTTTGAAGATTTGATTTCCAGTTGCCAGTAGCCACCAAACAGCATCGACTGGGAATATACTGTTGGTTTCCAGTCAGGTCATCATCGGTGCAAAGAAACATTGGGGTGTGTGTTTCAATCAATCTACTAAACTACTTATCTGACCCTGTGGTTGCAAACCCATCAATGTTGATATACTCTGGAAGCCTATTCAAGCTCAAAGCATCATCAAAAGAATGAAATATGATAAGACTTGAGGACTGAGGGTAAAGCTGCTGCTGCTGCTGACGTGCTGCGTTTACTGCACTGGGAAATCGAAGCAGCGAAAAGCTGCTGCAATCATTAAGAGTTTTACATTTAAATACACATAATCATGTCATTTCGGAATATGCACAGTAATTATTCCAATATAATCTGCTGCTACAGATGTATACCAAGAAGAAAGTAATGATTATACAGCAGCACATTCACTCACCTACACCTCATTTACTGTTTTATCTGGTTCACTTTGTTTATTTAATTAATTTCACTGCAAATGGATCATTATAAGAGACCTGCTGACCCCATCTTTCACTCCTGTGGGCCAACAGTTACAGCTGTGACGAATTCCCAGCTGCACAAAACACACACAGAGAGGAACAGGTTCATTAATGAGGATCTCTAGGGCAGACCAAGAGGTCACAGAGTCAAAGGTCAGCAGCTGTTGCAGTTTCCTCCACTTTGTATCCGCTCTTCCATTTTGAATCCACAGCATGGTCACGCCACACCTTTGAGTGGTGCCAAGGCTACGGGCTTTCACAGGTGCCATGTGAACACATGTCAGAAAAACTGGGCCGCAAGACAAATTCAAAAGTGCTGTAAGTAATGAGAATAAATAAGCATGGCAAAAATATGGACTGGCTAATGAGCTGGCATAAAATTTTATGATGTCAGCAAGCTGCTATAGAATGAGTAATGAGAGCATATTGCTGAGGTGCAGATAATGAAGATCTGTGGCTGGTTCGTGCTGTGAAGCTTCAGCTTGCCTCAAAGTGAGGAATCAGTCGGTGGTTCCAGTTCTTGCTGCTGGTGGGAGCAAAACCTTTTGTCCATTATTTTAAATGCCATTAACATGGGCAGTCACAGGGGTAGAAGAAGAAGAGACCTAACTTAATATGCTATACTACAAATATGAAGTATGAAGAAGCTACAGAGAAAACTGACAATGAGCGAGTGAGAAAAAATGTTAAATAAGCTGGAAGTGACCACTTTACAGCAGCTCCTCCACAAATCCACTACATGCACACACACAGACTGTGTGTGTGTTTGTCTGTGCGTGTTTGGAGAAAATGAATCATGTCCACTGTAATGCAGTAAATCTCCTACTGACGTCGATACACAAAGATCCAAATGGAGGGATTTATGCTACAAAAATCTGGATCCCTGAGGAGCTTCTCACATCATATGTGTAAATAAACTGAAAGCAAGTGTTATTATTATTGTATGTGCATAGCTGAGCCAAAAATATTAATAAATGCACATAAGTAGTTTTTATCAACAAATAACTTAAAATTAAGTGACTGAGAAAAAGAGTTTTGTCATGAGAATATTAAAAAGAAAAAAATTGACAAATAATGTATGACCTCTGTGTGTATATGTCTATAATATGGCACGCTCTGTTCTCAGCGTCAGCATCTGCTCTTGAACACAGCTTTGTGGATTTACAGTATAAACCTTCTGTCTGGTTTTATTCTCTCTACCTTTGGTGTCTTGTTAGGGGATGATGTTGGAGAGTGGGAGCGTAGGCAGATGAGAACATTGATTAACGGAGGTTAACATTTTTTTCACACACATGCAGAGTACAGAAGTCTCCCTCGGCATCCTTTATGTCTGCGATCCAAAAACACCGGATTACCGATTTAAAACGTCGTGCCCTGCAACTCCTCTGATTTTGCTTTTTGTAAGCAACACACAGAGATGTACTGTTTAAACAGGCACACTTCCTTCTCTGACACACGCTTCCTGGCAGTCTGATTAGAGCATCTAGTCCTGCCAGGACAAGAAAACACACACACACACAGACACACACACACCTGCCATCTTGCTGATGTGTAGGGAGGCATGGGAGAGCAGAGGAAACATGAGCATCTGCTGTTGTGACTGGCAGCACTTTAGTCAGATCTATCCTGCTCAGTCTGTAGGGAGCCAGGAGGAGAGTGGTGAGAGAAAAAAAGAGATTGGGAGAAAGAGAGGGAGAGAGATACTTTTGCACTCACACACTCTAAAATCATACAGGCTCAGACTGGCACGGGAAAGTGGACAGTAGTAAGCGAATGCAAGTTGACAAGGTAACCGAGTTTGCTACAAACCCGGTCTTTTAGACAGGAAATAGCCCTCACCAACTTGTTAGTGACTGACGCTAGTCTTGCTATCCACTGCTGCAGACTGGTTTGACAGCTCATCTCTCCTGCAGCAAAGTCTTCCAGCCGAGCATGCTTATCTGTGTGCCAGCTGGCTGCAAACAACTCCCAATTACAGCTGTACCCGGCCGCTATGTTGACATGGCGGTTCTCACACACCTGTACCGGATTTACTGTATGTCACCATGTCTTGAAGTAATGTCACAATTTCTTTCACCTAGTGAGCTGGCTGTTTATGTCACTTTTTAAATGATCAGAAAAATTATTAGCAGGGTGGGGCCTCCTTTAAGCGTAATGAAGCTGAGACAGTGTTTTGGCAACAATAATGTGAAGAGTGGATTTATTGTCGGCAATCATTTCACACTCCAATTTGTTTCAGCTTCAGTGCTCATCACATCTAGTCTTTGTGTGTGTATGTGTCAAGCCCTGGAGAAAAAAAAAATCCAGATTCTGCAGATACAAAAGATAAATGTCGACTATACTTTTGCACATTGCACGCAGACACATTTGTTCTGCTGCCATCTATGCCTGAATGAAACGTACAACAACAAATGTACACTCCCTCTCTGTGTGCCTATACTGTACATCTGCTAAGTTTCGTGTAGGAAAACAGAGATGACAAACACAAAGCAGGAGCAGCAGAGGCACAGAGAGTGCGACAGCTGGGCTGACAATAGCAGCCAGACACACTCACACAAACACACACACGCACGCACACACACTCCAGGAAGTAGTGAATAATGAGTCACTGGTGGCCAAAATTACACACACACACACACACACACACACACACACACACACACACACACACACA